CCTTATAAATGACTTTTCATTGTCGCACCCTGAGGTCAGTTTTAAGGCGGACCAGGCGTTTCGCCTGAGACTACTTCCTCCCCATGTTTTACTCTGAGGCTAAAACATTGGCAACGGCTTCACAGATGGAGGGCGGGTGGTTCCCTAAATGTGGCTCTCGCCTTAGCGCGGTGCACATTCGTTTTACACAGTTACTAGAGTTTCACGACTTGAGGGCGGGCCATTTTTTTAATGTGGCTCTCGCCTTAGCGCGGCGAACATTCGTTTTGTACATTTGCAAGCGTTTCACGGATTGAGGCGGATCGCTTACAAAATGTGGCTCTCGCCTTAGCGCGGCGCAAATTCGATTTAAACATTTGCAAGAGCTTCACGGATTGAGGGCGGCTCCTTTTCAAAATGTGGCGCTCGCCTTAGCGCCGCCTACATTTGTTTACAACATGCGCAAGCGGTTCAAGGATTCCCATCATCAACGTACCAGAAATTTTGAGTTTGAAGGATTTCGGATTATGCAGGTGCAGCAATTACGTTGGTTCTCTCTGTGAAGGTCCTAAGAATGGCGTTCTGGTAGGATCCAAGATCGTCGAGACGCATCTGTCAGGTTGATCCGTGGCGTTGGAATCCCGAGAACAATGTTTTGGCATACTTCAGGGTCTTCAAACGGGTGTCTTCCAACGACGCAGTTCCCTCAATGGAAATGAACCGTTGTCGGGGCCTACGAAGAGGGAGCTTGGAGGGAGGGTTTACTCCAACATCGTTGATGATTCTTGGGTTTACACTGGTCCTCTTCCTCCCCCTCCTCCCTACCCCCTCCTTAGAGCCCACTAGATGGGGTCCGAGTAGATGGGGTCGGAGGATCGAGCCGCATCGCCGATACATCGACGATGCATCTGCGATGCATCAGCCTCCTAGATGGGTCGGAAACTGGGCGAGGGCTGGCAAATCCGTGGCTGCTGAAACAGCCTTGCGGGAGGAAACAGAATACAAGTTCCTGGAATGAAACACTTTTTGCACAACAATTATGAACGGGCTAGTTCCAGGAAGAAGAGCAGCCACGGGTTTGCCAGCATTCGCCAGGTTTCTCAAATGGGGTCCGACTAGATGGGGTCGGAGGATCGAGCCACATCGCCGAGACATCGACGATGCGTAGCTCCGTTTTAGCAGCCACGGGTTGGTTGCCTTCGCCTGATTTCTGAATGGGGTCCGAGTAGATGGGGTCGGAGGATCGAGCCGCATCGCCGATGCATCGACGATGCAACGGCGATGCATCAGCGATGCATGGGCGATGCATCGTCGACGTCGGCGATGCATCGGCGACGTCGACGGGAAGCAAGTCGGGCCCCACATCGAGCCGCACCGTCGATGCATCGATGATGCGGCTAGATCCTCCGACCCCATCTACTCCGACCCCATCTAGTAGGCCTAGACTCCTTTCGTCGGATCCGAATACTAGGCGCAGTGCTGGGGGGATCCCCGTTGGGCCGCACCAAAGGTCACTCTGCAGACTGAGTTTCTCTCACGCGCGACCGAACTGTCCACGTCACCGATCCTGGCGAGAGGACTGGCGAGGTGCAAAGAAAAACGAACGGCATTAAAAGTCAATGCCAAATGCACAATCTTGGAGCGGCGGCGTTCCCGGAGCCCGATCGACCAGGAAGGGCTCACGAGCGGCGAACATATGCGCATCCGCGGCCTCGCGGTCTGGATTCTAGGGCGCGATCCCGCGGATACGCGGTCGCATGGATACGTTCCGCGATGGGCATCCGAACAATAAAACGCGCACTGGTGCTGGTCGCGGGTCTTTTCAGGGATAGCGTGATGCTCGATCGTGGCGCTCTCCACCGCCGTGGCCCACACACCGTACGACTTCACCATGTCGATCTTGGCGTCGGTGTTCCTGCCCAGGAGATAGCGAGGTCGAAGCTCGCCTAGCCCCAGCTCTCCAGCGCCGCCTGTGCATCCAGAAGTCGTTCCCCCTTCTACGCGCAGATCCTCGGCCCCACGGCCACTGGCCGCCCTGGGGCTGGCCTGCGACTGCCGCGAGCGCGAAGCTCCACGGGGGGCGGGATCAGGTCGCGGAGGTCCTGGGGCGCCAGCTGCAGCGCCTGCAGTCCCAGAAGACGTTCACCCCTCTACGCGCAGATCCTCGGCCCCACAGCCGATGGCCGCCCGTGGGCTGGCCTGCGGCTGCCGCGGGCGCGAAGCTTCACGAGGGGCGGGATCAGATCGCGGAGGTCCTGGGGCGCGAACAGTCGTAGACGCTGCCCCTGACGGAGACGACCTCGCCTGCGGGCCTTCTCCGCGCACGGACTGGAGCGGGGCGGTAGGGCGAGCCATCGGAACCTCGCTCGCATTGCCGCTCCACTCAATAGTGCCCTCGACGATGGGGACCTCGCAGTCGTCCACGAAGTCCATGGGATCGACGTCCACGGCGTCGAGGGTCTTTCTGACAATATTCGGAGCAAGATTAGACAAAGGGTTAGGGCGAAGACGAGGTTCGGCGTCACGGTGGCCTTGCTGAAGGTCGACGCCGCCTTCGACGGTGATGGCGGAGCTGGCGTCCGCCTCGTGCTGAATACCTCTAACCTTCTGCCAAAGGTCGAGAGGCGCGAAGCAACTTGCCGATGGCTCGCGAGGAGCGACATCTTCATTGCTGACGTGGAGCTCGTCGTAGGCCTCCTGCAGGTGATGGGCGAGCTGGGATCGCCGCTGACGCCTGGTGGCGAGAGACCGCTGTTGCTTGCTGGCTGGGTCGGATGCCTTGCGCGGCCTCGCCGCCGTGGAAAGCTCTCGAGGTAGCTGGCCGTTAAAGACCGAGAGCGCGAGGCCGACGCGCGTCTTCCACTGGGCCTCCGCGACCGCCTCGAGCTTCAACGAGTCCAGGATGTCGGAGCGGACGACGCCGTAGTCGTCGAGCGCACCGCGGCCGAGGTTGCACGTCGTGCCGGCGTTAACCGGCAGCAGCAGGGCTCCACAAATCTTCTTGACCAACTGGATATTGCTCCAGTCGCTCGGAGCGTTGTTCCAATCGCCCAAGACAACCCACGGGTCGGCGACCAGGCTGAGGAAGGAGGCCAGCGGAACCAGCGCGCGCTCGTTGGCCCCCCCACAACTACGATGTTGCCGACCTTGGCGTGCCACGTGATCGGGCAGAACCCCTATCGAATGGGTCTTTACCTGCTCCTCGCACTTCAACCATACGCCAGCCCTCGAACGACGTGGTGGCCAGGGTCTTCTTGCACAGGATGGCCTCGCCGCCCGTCGTTCCCTCCTGCGAGCACCCCGTCGGCGTTGAGGGAGCGGCCGAAGCCTTCCACCCCTCATTGGACATGTCGGCGATCATTTAGCTCAATCGATCGCCTCGACAGTGGGTCTCCGCGAATCCGAGCACCTCGTACTGCTCGGCCTGCGCCCTCATGAAACTCCCCGAACGCGGGCCCCATTCGGAGATGTTAGCGAAGACAAATCGGGCATGCGGGCTAGGAGCTCGCCCCAAGGCCTCCTCGCCCGCCATTGCCACCGGTGGAGTTGCCCCGCCCGCGGCCCCCAGGAGGCTAACAGCTGGAGCAGGAGCTGCCACGCCCTGGGTAGCTGCCTCGGATCGCTGCTCTGCCCGCTCTTTGGCCGCAGCGATGGCCTTGCCCGTGAGGGTCTTGGCCTCCTCGCGGCTCTTGGCGGCGGCGCCGGGGTCATCGGCTGACTCAGCGGGGGGGGGGGTTCGGGGTCGCGACGCTCTGCAGCTGCCACCTCGGCTGCGCCTGGCCCAGTACGTCCTGCACCGCCTACGCCTCGCATGCGCTTGGCGGGGGCCTCGCGGATCTCCAGGATGGACTTGAGCGCGTTCTGGAGCGTCGCCTGTCGCGCCTCGACCTGCTTAACATGCTGATCCATCTGGCTCTTGAGGTCGCGGAGCGACTGCTGCTGGTTCTCATCGACTTCGTCCATGTTGTCAATGTCGGTCTCCTTGATTGCGAGCAGAATAATATTCCCGTCGGCGGTGTCGCGCTCAGGTGGAGCCGTGCCCTTGCCGAGGGACCGCGAGAGGGCGTCGATCGCCTGGTCGTGGGCCTGCTTGGCGGAGGCTGCCTCCACGCTGGCCACAGACATGTCGTCCTTTGCCGCCGCGAGGGCCGCTTCGGCAGCGACCACGGCACCTGCTGCACGGCGGAGTGCTGGTTCTATCTTCTGTAGATTCTGCGCAGCGAAGTCCGCCTCCTGCTGGGGCGTACGCTTCTTGAACAAGGAGGCCGTGCAGGTGCTCTCCATCTCCTGGATGACCACACGGGAGCCCGCGAACGAAGGGATGGATGCCAGCAGCTGGAGCAGCTCAACGGGGTCCGCCTGCTGGGTCTGCTTGGCCCACGGCGCGGTGGTGGTCCAGGGCGCCCTGGGTTTCGCCTTGGGGGCCGCCGTGGGCGACGGCTTGAACAGATCGATGGCGGCGCCACATTTCGCGCACTTGCAATCGTTCGCAATGATGCGGAAGTTGTACGCCCAGTTGTCGCACGACTGGCACACCGAGAACGGCTGAGGGCGCCCCATCGCGATATGGATGGCGGTGCGGGTGCACCACCAGAATACTCTTGATTCCAGCAGCGCGCAGCTCGACTGGGGTTGCCTGAAACGGGAGCTAACCTCGGATTACATCGGCGCTACGAAAGTTTTGACCCGTTTTGCGCTTTCAGCTAAACAACGCCTGAACACCACATTGATTATGAACACCACGACGGCCGGGAGCACCACAGAACCTATGAGCAGCCGAGCGCCGATAATCACCTTGACGCTAGCACCCCCGTGCCTAAGACGACCGCCGTCGTCGTCGTCGTCGTCGCCGTCGTCGTCGTCGTGGTCGTGGGCGTGGTTCTGATCATAGTCTTGATTGAGGAAGTCCTGGGCGGAAGCGCCATTTCGAAATCAAACGCGAAGGTCTCGAATTGTGTTTTGGAGGAATTCCTGGGCGGGAGCGCCATTTCGAGTTCGAACGGAACAAATGCCGAACCTCA